CCATTTCCCTCAAATGCGATCAGTAGATTTTTTCTTTAGTATCAGTAGCTTTTAATTCACAAATACTTCAGAACTCGAACTTCCGTAAGTTGTCAGATAGTAGATTCTCCATTTCCCCCATACATTTACTGTAATTTTTGCCGTGTTTGCCCCTCCTCCAGATATGATGACGTCAGAAATCGTGAAAAGGTCTATTTGCGAACGACAATTTTTTTCGTTGTGACATTTAAATTACAGTGCGAGAATTGATCAAAGACGTTTTCCTTTCACTTTTTTTTTTCGATAAAAAGAGTGATGCTAACCTGATAACAAATAAAAAATATATATCAACAAATCAAAACAAATTTCTCGTTATCATAATATAATTAAATAGTGTTAGCAACATTAAATACTTGAGGTTTTTGTTTTTCATGCCCTCCTGCGGCGAACCATATTTATCGATTACTTCTTTTTGCGCTTTAGTAACTACTGCGAACATAGTCCCTTAATCTTGATCTAATGAGACGGCGGACGAAGTTTTGGAAGATGTTTTTTTTTTTTTGCTCTCTTGAAAGGGACAACATATCAGTTTACATAAGTTACCACAAGCTAATTGCAGTTAATTTGATATGTGCTTATCAGTGGACCCAGGCTGTGAGGTTGATTGCTTCCTTAGGTAGCCCTGTTTGTCGGAAGAAGTAGATAAGACCAATAAAGGAACCGCAGACCTTATTAGATCGTTCTCATTGTGTATTTTATATTCGAATACCGTTTTTGAGAACACAGTGCCACAACTTTGAGGGCTTGTACAATCGTCAATTTTACCGTAAACATCTTAACTTTGGAATCACGTATTTCAAACGGTATATATCATAAATATCGGAAAACAATTTTACTTCATAGGCACTAATATTATTCACAGCAAGAAACGCGAGGATAACAGCCGCACCACACCGGGATTGTGGGAGATTCTAATCGATTTTAAGATTACTTGTTAGCCTGCAAATTTGACGTTGGTTTTGCTCCCCGCGCGTACCTTGTTTGTGTACTTTTCAATTGAGGTTGCGGACGTCCATACGGAACTTGTCCTAAGAAATTAAAGCCTATTGTTTTAATTTCATTTTTTATATTCGCTATTTATTTCCCCCTTTTTTTTTCTGTATTTCCAGAATGCATTACGGCTGCCATGAAAACCAAAGTGACAAACGCGCCGCAACATTATGCCTTATTTTATTTTATTATTAATTTTTTTTTGTTTGATTGCGGACTTCGTTGACGTATCGCACCTGTTGCGAAGGCCACGTGTCCGGCTATATCTATATTTACCTTGACCACAAATTGAGTGGGAGATAGAACTATAAAAGGAGAAAAGAAGAGTGTTGTTCTTCAGCTGCTCGCCAAAGGAGTTGGTCGTTTGCTCTTGAACCTTGACAATTGACCTCAGCCATGTTTAAATTGTGTTTTTTCCTAGCTGTTCTTTTCGTACCAATTCTGTTGTCATACCATGCCACAGCCCTCGTCGAGAGCCGAGACAAATCTGCAGACATCTCCTTTGGGGGTACTGTATAATATCGCTTTCTTGCTTTGATAAAAACGTTCACAGTTGTGCAATGTATTGTCCATGGATATGTCTTTTGTTAGTTGTTTCAGTTTGATACCGACCATTTTAGTTAACCAATTCAGCTCCCGTTTTACGTCTTACTTCCAAGAGGCTGTTCTGTTCTGTTACTTCAGCAGAGTTTTACTGAAATCCTAAACATTCACTCCTTTCTCGTTTCTCTATTCGTTTCTGCGTTTTACCTGCTTGTGTTTGAAATGCGTAATGGTACTTCTGCGTACCTCTGCAACAGTATATAGGTGATATTGTTATTGGAGGATTGTCCCGAAGACTAACCACTGCGCATACTTTGTGTGTCCATAGATTGTATGGATCTCAAACCCCGGTTGTGCAAGCTTATACGATCCCGCTGTTTAAAACCAAGATACATTGCTTTCCTTTACACGAACTGCAGGAAGACTTGCACCTTTTGTTAAAAACGTTAATTGTCAGGTCAGTAAAAACCGAATTTCTTTTGACTCTCACAAATACTGAGTTAGATGGCTTACTTGTGATGAGAAAAGGTGAGAAGTTCTTTTTTCAGATTGATACATAAATAATTAAACATATGTCCGAATATATGAAACATCTGGCCCTGGTCAAGGACTTTTTTTTCCAAAGAAGGCGTCGTAAAAATTGAAAGGAATGTCAGTATTTTTTTTTTTTTTTTCATCGCTCGTAAGGTGATTTTTAGGATCTTAGGAGTCTTGAAATCAAAGTGTGTAGTTAGATCATTTGGTACAAGGGAACACATTTTCCGCATTGACACGGTTTTCGTAAATTCAGTTATGTATAAATAGAAATAAGAAAATAACCTGGGGAATAGATCAATTGAATCTGAGGCATGCCTTTAAAAACTGCAGAATTTGAGCACCGATAAAGTTCATTTTATAACTGGTGGCTGTTCTTTGTTCGTCTTATTCAGGCTTCACCGATCCCGATATGCAATCTGGATAAACTCAACCCTGAAGTATTGGAGGACAAACAAGAAGGGGCTGTTCACTGAAATTTCAGAAAACAAATATCGTGTATTAAAACTTTAAACAAATTTGTGGTCGTTTGTGTTCAATTTTTGAAAATGAAAAACACGATTGAAAGCTGCCTTCTTCTGTCAACCTTTTTATTTTCAACCTGGCGAATGAATATATTGGGATTTCATTTCAAACAAAAATAGTAGTTCCGAGTGTAGAATGTGAAAAGGGTTAAAGAACAATACATTACAGGCACTGACGAATGCTTATAAGGCTCTTAAACCTAATGAACTTACTTGTGGGGGTAGGTTGAGGAGGCTGCGTTGTAGTTGGCTTTGCCGTCGTTGGCTTTGCCGTCGTCAATGCTGTTCGAGGTAATACAATGAAGTCAAATAATAAAATTTCGGCAGTGGTGAAAAATCTTAAGTTGTCCAGTATTGTAAGTGAATTCAGGGCCGTAGCTAGTAACAGGCAAACCGAGGTACTTGCTTGAGTTATATATTTATTTTTTCGTTTTTGTTGTTTATAGTCATCATAAACACTATCCAATATCTTGGAGGAGAAATTAACCAGGGACGTAGCCTTAGTGATAATTCTTTCATGGGTATTGCCTCTGTCAATTTTTTTTTTTCTGGCTATGGCCCTGGTTATATTTAGCTATTTGATATACATGTATAGATACTTCTCACTGACTTAGACTTTATGTGACTTCGAAAGAGTTGTTAACCATTCTAGTGCAAAGTAATCTAGCGTTGAATATCATTTTGCAATGTTTCAAAGGATATTTGCTTTAAGCCGTTAAATTGCATAAAAGTCATTAGACAAATGCAGTCACCTACCGTTTACACCAACACCACAGTAACGAAGTTTGCACTTTGGAGCTCTTTGTAATTTGTAGACATAAAAATTGCCACAATTTCTGACTAAGATTGTACTGCGCCAGCTGCAGCATTTGTTGCGCCAAGTGAAACACACCGTTCTTGACACCACTCCTTCAGAGACGTCGGGATGTACTCCACGAAGCCATCCAGGGGCATGGGTACCACAGTGATAGGAAGAAACACAGGTTTCTGGCATCCGGTTTCCCGCCAATCCCATGAATCTGTACCAGGCTTTAGCCAGGCGTCGATCACATTTAGGTTTGGCGCCCTGAATGTTTTTATACTCGTAGCTTTGCGAACGATCGCTACCGCGTAGTACTCTGTATCTGGTACATTCTTTGCACAGGTGAAGATAAACGAAAAATTGAATATTTAGAACGGATTTGAATTATCACTATATACGCTTAACTAACGTAATTATTGCCAGGTTCACAATATACAAAAATGAAGAGCTTGTGGACCCTATTTCTCAAATGACGGATTTTCTCTGTAAAGCTTCTATACTACTGTCGACCCAGCAATTAGAAGGGTGTTAAAAAATAGGGAGCAATTAATTTCAGGGGATCCCTGCAAGCAAGAAAGCCCTGCAGATTTTCTACTTAGAAGCGCAGAATTAGTAACTAAAAGTCCTCATATTCCATTGAAGAGTTATATCTGTAAATGTAAGTCACATTCTGACAATGGGTAGCAAAAAGGCGACAAGTCGACCCAGGCTAGATTTATAGAATTAGGAAATACCTCAACGAACACAGAGAATAAGCCACTAATAACATAATTCACTCAACCCCTTCATAACAGCATCTCCATATCTCATGTGTATCTTGTTTCAATGTAATAGTTAATTATTATTATTATCATTATTATTATTATTATTATTATTCGTTTGTAAGTTAGTATTTCCCTGACATATATATTGTCCTAAGAATTTTTATAAGCCACTAATAAACATTATTATTATTATTATTATATACCAATTTGTATGGAATATGTTAATTAATGTTATGATGATGATAGTAGTATTTTTTTT